ATGTGCGGAAAGGGCAGAAACACCAAAAGAGAAGAGCAGAACAGCCATTTGTTCACTTAGCCCCTAGCCATCAGGGCAGCAATGGGAGCACCCACCTGGGCTGTGAGAGAAGGTCACCCTGGGGGCTTGCTGGCTAACTAATGGGAGGGCTGCAGACAGAGCCTGGCGTTTTTGCATTGGCAATGAACAGAACATTTGGAAAACAGAAAAAAATGTTGGACTGAACATTTAACAACTCTCTTTCTGACCACTGTAAAATACCTTATCATATCTGTTTTAATTAGATCTTTTTTTCCTGTGTTCTTAGCGATTAAGTTGGAACTAGCACTCCTGCATATGGATTTGATCTCTTACACATCCACATTCATTCAGTTGACTTTATAGTTGGCTGTGGCTTTTTTCCCCTCCCATATTTCACCCACATCCACCTCTTCTTTACAGTCACCACTCTATTTTGCATGTTTCTTATAGTTTAAATTCTGGGTATGATGTAATGAAAAAAAATAGTGAGAGCATTAGCTGTATTTGTCTGAGGACCTGCTATAATGCAAATAACTTTAAATCTTCACGGTATTTAATCAACATTGCTCAAAAGTAGGAGTGGAGCTTGCAATCAGCACTCTGTTTATTACTTATTTCTTTATTTATAGAAACGGAAATTAATGCAGGAGTTAAGCCTGACACTTATTGGAGGTTAGCATTTTAACTGCAGAATGTACTGAAATGGCTGCACATGTGGAAAAATACACAAAGCATTAAGGGAAATGCTTGTGTTTGCTTGATTTATTCGCTGCAGCAGAGGACTCTGGTAGTAGGAGGTGTAATTTGCAGCACATTAGCTATTAGCCAGTGTCATTGCTTGAGTGGGTGGTGTGAGTCTCTTGTGTCTGTATGGTGTCACACTGCGCATGTTTCAGAGCTGGGCTCTTCTCCCCTGTGCTTTCAGATTAAATTTTTGTGAACAATACTCTGTTTAAAACCGTGAATCTGCGTTTTTGGACGGGTTATTCTATCACATGGATAATATCTCGAGTAAATGCTCACTCCACACCTCCCCTGAAATTCATAACGTTTTGCAAAACTGAATTGTCGCAGTGTTTGCTTACCTACTTCTTGACATGAGGTCCCCTGAAGATGTAATACGTTATTTGCAAGATACCAAGCCTGTAACTCCACAGCAAGCAAGCAAAATTACACTCCTGGTTGTTTTTGGGTTTTTTTTGTTTTTGTTTTTTTTTTTTTTTTTTGCTTTTTGCTTTTTTTGAGGGGGGGAGAAGGGAGGGAAGCTACACTGTGCATGTACATGAACACTTGTGTTCAGCAGAGGTTTTCTAAAAGAGTCTGAGCTGGAAGCATCTTTTTTTTTTCTGTGTGCACAATTTCACTTGGGTAGCTTTTAGTTCACTTTTTTTTTCCCTAGAGGCACCTGTCTCCTGCCACATACCCATCAAGACTAATTGCACCATCTGGAAGACTTTTGTGTAGCTGTTACTTGTGCAGAATATCTCTTGGGAGCTTAATTCTGAATGTGAATGTGACCCCTGAAGCCATGTCAAGTAGCTGCAGTAGTTTCCAGCCTCTAAAGGATGATCACCGTAGGCTTTATTTGTTTCAAGTCTCCTGCGGTTTGCTTTAGTACGGATATGTTACATGTCAGTAACACAGCTTCAGTCATGTTTTGAAGGGAGTAAGACTTTGAATATGGGTCTGGTAATTCATAGAAAATTCTGTCTAAAATTGCATTCAAACCATATGGATTTGGATTTAGCCTATATGACTAGGTGTAGAAATGACAGACGTGTTGCTCCTTACTATTACACTGTGCAATTTTTATGTCCTGTTCTTCCCCCACCCACATCTGCAGTTCTCATTAATAACATTCTGCTAAAAATGCAAGGCATTCTTTTGAGCATGGTTGCAACCCCCCAGAACAGCTCTAAAGCAATTGTTTTCCTTATTGCTATGAATCTGTTCAAGTATTTTCACTACAGGTAATTATCTCTTGTTCTTCACTTAAGCTTTATTAAGTTAAAAGCACTGCAGCACTTCATTTCCACAGTGTCCCTCTGGGCAGTGCCCTGTTTAAAGGTTTCTGCTTTAAAGTCTTGTGGTGATCTGGACAGTTTTCTTCTTTCTGTAATAATGTGTCTGTTGGAAAACCATGGAGCGCTGAGCATGGAAAACCAAAGCATTCTGACTTAAAGTATCAGCAAAATTTGTTATGTTATGTTTTGTTTAACAAAACAAAACAACGCTACTCTTTTCTCTTGGGATCCTGCATATATTGTGTCAGGCACTCTTGTTTTACCAGTATATGTATGTGGGTAAAAAAAAAATATGTCTATTTGTTTTCCTGAAGTCACTTTTTTTTTTTAGCGATGGAATTGTAATAAGTGTTGAGGAAATATGAGGACTCTATTTGTACTTAGTTGCATCAGCTGTGTAACTTGTTTGCTTGTAAGTAATGCGGTCAGCTGAAGCTCAACCAGAGAAGCTATATATTTGAGCGTGGTAAGAATAGCCATTCTTTGTGTGCTTAATGGGAGTGAAGGTATGTAGGGTGAAAATTCGCAGGACGCTAATGGTAAGCAGCTTTCTCCTCCTCTTTAAAATCCCTCCCCATACATACCTGGTGAGCAAAACAAGGTTGTACGTTGCAGTACTGCTCTGTGTCTTAGGAACTGATCTGAGCCGCGTAAGCTTTCCTGGCTTTCAATGGTTGGGAAGCACTGCGTGAGTGGTTTACAAAGAGAAATCATTGTCTGCTCTGGGAAGCTGTACAGCATCTTCCTTTCAGCAGTTGTTACGCTGCTGTATTCAGTTTTTTTAAAGGATCTTTGTGGATGGAAGAAGTGAGAGCTGATGGCTGTGAGGGGGCTTTTCCTCAGAAAGTTGAGTCTCGTGTTAAATACTGATGTCTGTAGTCTATTTAGTCTCCCACAGAAATAGTGATTACCCATGTTCTCCTAATTTACAGAAACATTTTGATTAGTTTATGATTTGCTATAGGGTAGCAAGGTAACGTGTTGTATGGGAACTGCTGAGTCACGGCCTGAACCTCTGATTAATCAGCTGAGGTGAGCCTTGAGTCAGCCACAGGAGCACAGGTGAAGGCAATTCACCTGTGCTGCCGGAAGGGGTGGAGCCAGGCTCCACCCCTCCTGGACCTATTTAAGAGCTGGCTACCAGAGGGGAAGGATCTCTTCTGGAGATCCCCTCTTTGGTATCTTCTGGTGAGCTCAACACAAGGGTAAGCTCTTCCACTTATTCTCTTTTGTGATCGTTGTCTGCTTTGCCTTACTCTCATTGATTGTATTGCGATTGTAACATCTTGATTATACAAAATTATAACATCTTGGTTATACACGTGTTCACAGAATCACAGAATGTCCGAAGTTGGAAGAGATCCACAAGGACCACCAAGTCCAACTGTTGGCTCCACACAGCACCGCCCAAAACCAAACCCTATGTCTAAGAGCACTGTCCCAGTGTTCCTTGCACTCCGGGTCATGCCCACCGCCCTCTGGTGAGGAACCTCTTCCTAACCCCACTGCCCTTTCCCAGACGCAGCTCCATGCCGTTCCCTCGGGCCCTGTTGCTGTTACACAGAGCAGAGCTCAGCGCTGCCTCTCTGCTCGCTGTGAGGAGCTGCAGCTGCCATGAGGGCTCTACTCCGCTCCTCTGCTCTGGGTTAAGCAAACCCAGGAACTGCAGCCACCCCTCGCATATCTTATATTGCTAGATCCTTCACCATCTTTACAGTTGTGTGAATTGCCATTTTCATTTTATTGCCCTATTAAGAGGCTAACATGGAATTGCATTGTTGAAGGTTAAGACTGGTGGCTGATGCTTGCACCTGGCCAAGTTTCAGCTGTGGCTGTGAACCACATTGGTTCTTAAAACTCAGTTGAACCAAACTCTGAAGCTGTCTTAAGCCATAACCGTGTGCATTCCTCTTGGAAGCTTTTCCTCACACCACAGCTGTGCACGGTGCTGCGATCATGGCCATGTGGGGCCGGGCTCACCCAGCACCAGCCCCCTGAGCCAGCTTGTTCTGCACTGAGCTTTTGGAGGCACGTGGTCAGCTCTGTCACTGTGGGAATAGTTAGGAAGACTGACAAAAGAAGTGGAGTGGTTATCTGCAGTAGCACATGAACTTTCATGTGGAAGGATATTTAAATTACTCTGTTTTTTATATTTACATGTCTGCATAAGTGAAATAGTGTATCGAAGATATTATTGTGTTGTGAAGTGGTGTAAATGTTATGAGAAAAAATCCAAATGGACCTTCAGCTTGCACACAGTGTTCTACTTATTCAAATGCACTTCCAAGATAGGCATCCTATCCTGTCAGTTAGCTGCTTTACAGACTGGTCTGGATTGATTTTCTTCAGTGATTAGGGCGAAAATTACACAATGGGACAAAGTGAGTTGGATCGCTTAGTAATCTGTGATGTAATTCTTATCTATTCAGCAAATATTTAAATTATATTGGAGATAAGGGCTCCTTCTGGAAAGCAGTTTACAGATTTAATAGCATCTGGGGTATATTATCCTTTTTTTGTAGCTATTTAGCCTTACTGGTGATCATAGGAACTAGAAAGCAACTTTGACAAGGACAGAAAGAATATAATTTGAGATACTGGTTGATGCTTGGACATCACTTTGATATACTCATTTTGCGACATCATATGAAGCACAGGACGTGTGTTACCCTTTGGAAATAAACGACATTTAATCCTGAATACTCAATTTGCTCTGCAGTAGTAATATTTCACAGTAAGTTACAGGTGAAGGGTGACAAAAGTTTGTGATTAATAATTACAGCTTATTTTCATGCAAACATGGTTATTAAAGACTTAGAGAAATGAGGGGAGCTCGAGATCTAAGTCTTTCTTTCTGTTTTGTCATAAGCAGTGAAAATGGATTGTAAATAACGTGCTTTTCTAAATTTTTTTTTTTTTTTTTTTTTTTTTTTAGGGGTTTTTTTTTTTATTGTTGAAATAATTTACAGATGCGAGGTTTGGTTGTATTGCTTATTTCCAAAGCTGCTGGACCCAGCAAAGCAGAGCTCTCTTTCCAGCACAACATGGTCAGTGGGATTTATTCCAGGTACGTGGTAACTTTCTTTAGCTAGATACACACAAATGCATTTGATTGGCAATGTCATGGTGATTTCAGAGCATCCTAGTGGCCTGCTCAGCTGTTAAGGAAAAAATCAATACTTGCCTAATTATAAATCCTTATTCCACAGGATTATTATAAGCTTTCCACGGTGAAAAGCATTTCCTGCCAGTTGTGTAGCTCGTATAATATCCATGTCTAAATCTTAATTGGCGTTTCTTGGTACAGTTAAATCAAAAAGATTTGAATTAAGTTAGGTATTTGAAAGTTTATGTTAAGAGGTACTCAGAATCAAATATGTACATACATTAATTGAGTGGAATTTTTCTGAGTTACTCAGATGTGATTTAGGTACACTACTTACTAGAAATGTCAGAGTCAGATTGACAGTTGTGTGGAATACCAGTTTGTTTTACTGAGCAAATCATTTTTATTGCAGCCACTTTGAAGGATATTTTCCCCTGACACTATAGTGTAGAATAAAGTTCCTTACCTCCCACATGTGAGCTGAATTACTGAGCCTGTCACTAAGGTACCTTAGGGCCTCACTGATATAATCAGGTTTCATCCAGTTCCTAAATATCTTTTTAAGTATTTGAAGTAAATTATTTGATACTAGTAACAACAGTAATTAGAAATAGTGGTTGGTTTTTTTGTGTGTGTTTGATGGTTAACTGTTCCTCTGAAATAATAAGTGATGTTAAAAAGTTCTGGTTGAAAAACTGTACAATTAAAATTTTTGAAGTCCTTTTGAAGACTTGAGTGTCAATGGGTGAGAAAACTCTTGTATTTTCAGCCAATTTTGCTTCTGGCCTCTGTGGGGTATTAAAGGAAGATACACAAACTTAGTGACAGGTTTGTATCCTATACACAAGGGCACAAATAGCATTTCAAAACTGAAAAGACCAAAACAAATAACATCCTTAAAATACATATAAAATCTTAAAGCAACAGAGTAAAGAAGGAAAATAAACATGAATAGGTAAGGACAGAAATAACATTAAGTAAGAAAAAAGAACAGATATAGGAGGCTTGTTAAGGAGGGGCTGTGATGCCCCTTTAGCTATTTAATTCCGTTCTTGTTTGGTTTTGTCCTTAATGTCCCCTTAGGGTTGTAATGTTTTTATATTTATATGCAAATGATGCTGCATGAGAGCATAATTCTATTTAGTTAATTATAATACAGAAAGTATTTTAGTTGATTTTGGAAGTAAATGATTTTGGAAGTTTTCATTAAGTGTGTCTCATAAAAGGAGAGAAAAAGCATTATGTTTTCATAACCAACTTTTTGAGTATGATGATTCTGACTGTGGAGGTAACTAGTGAGCATTTCAAGCTGCCACTGGGAAGATGACTATTGGAAGTATTCAGTGAGGAGCAAATAAGACCTTGAATTAATAATGAGCCAGTTGGTGTAAATGGACATCATTGGAGCCATGCCAGTTCAACCAGCTGAAAATCTAGCCTAATAATCTAAGTTTGAGGAAGTCAATAGCCATTATAATACCTAGATTAGAGTTACCAAGGTATTCCAGAAATGAAACAGCTTTGAATACGTCCGCACTGGTTCACTTAAGGTTCATTACTGTCTGTGAGAGTGATAACTATGGAATCATTAATTTGAGTGAATTTTCAGTGGCAATTGAAATCTGTATTGTGAAGCAGATACAAGCAAATTGATGCATACTAGCAAATGGCAGTGCTTTATTTCATTTTGTGTCATAGTGAGCCAGGTATTGCCTTCCACTGAAGTCACTTGGAGCTTTATCTTTGACTTGGAGCTCTTTCTTTATTTTTCTCCCTCTTCTTAATGATTTTGTGGCTGTGTACTTTTCCAAATGCACTCTTCAATGCCTGTCTTTTTTCTCATTTTGATTTCTGTACAGAGAGAAAGAGGAGTTCTGTACAAAGAGCAAAGAGAAGTGGCAGCTTGTAAAATCATGAACTTAAAGGGCTTTTGCGATTGTTTTATGTATTACAAATAATGTTTTATAAACTGCTTTCTCTTGAATAAGTACCAAAGGACATTTTCCCTTAGTACATCTTTGTCTGCTGTCTTGGTTACAGTGTAGTTATATATGGTGTGTGTATTAGAATTGTATAGCAAAGGCAAAGTATATTCCTCAGTGATATGCAGTGAAGAAATGTGCTTGATCCTTTAATGCTTATATACTGCTCCAGCTTTGAAAGTCTTTTTTTGAAATTGATTCCTACAGAGTTTCATCTCAGCTGTAAACTATGCAGCTCTTTCTGTTACCATGCCATATAATTACTTCAACTTTACATATAATATTTTGCTGGAAATATTATTTCTGGCACTGTAACCAGCATCTTCGTTGTCTGGTACTCACATGTTGTGAACAATGCGTTGTAGACTATTAGCTGGGATATAGCTTGCTTGATTTTAGGGTATTTGGTAGGGGTTAATTGCATTTCTGAAATCTGAGCATGAGTTAAGTTCAAGTACTTGTCAGTGATTGCAGCAGTCCAATGTTTTTTTTTTCCTACTGTATATGTCGGAGTCAGCTCTTGTGCTCTCTTGAAATCTGCTGTCCCACAGTGGGTAGCTAGGTTACATCAGTATGTTGTATCTGGTTATATCACATCTGTTGTATCACCAAAAAAAAGACCTTTCATTTTGTGATGAGACATGTTCTGCATAACCTTTTTTCCCTATTTGATATCTTGAATCACAGTATAAACGAAGAATGCAGTATCCATAATTAAAATTTAAGGACACTAAATTTGGAACTGCCAGCTTTTTCTTTATCCTGTTCTCCCAATCTCTAGATGTGTCAGTGACCCAAATGCATAAAAATAGATTAGCTAGCTACTTAACTTGCATCTGTTTTTACTGGTACACAATGGAACAAAACTGGTGCCTGCTACTAGAGAGCAATCTTTTTTCCAGAGTAATGAGGACTACAATTTAGATAGTTAAAGGAGCAGAGTTGGTGTAGTGATATGATGCTGCCTGTGGCCGGCACTGCTTCCAGCTTGGCGCTTCGTAATTTGCAGATGTGAACTGTCCACATTCAGCTAGGGGGGGAATTACAAGCTATTGTGCACAGGGATATCATAGTAACTGATGGTTACCTTATGAGTCATGCAGAAGATAAACAGGAAAGTGTTACAAGTGTCTGTTTGGCGTGCTTTTCTCTGTACTGCCATCTCCCTGTCAGGCTGCCAGCAACCTAATTTCATTGCCGTTGGCGGGGAAAGGAACCTGACATTACCTCCAGCTCAGCACCAGTGCTCCCAAAAGAGGATGCAGAAAAGGAATGGCAACGTGATAAACAGGCCTATTTCACCTGCTGAACAGATTTCCTAAAATTAAAACTTCCTGCTGGTCTCTTACCATTAGGTAAATATTTCCATGGCTACAGAACCATGGTAAATGCTATGATGAAGAGCAGCACTCAACAAGTTATGCAAGCAGTGTCATATAAGGATTGATGTCATTGCCCATACTTAAGCAAAGCGTCATCCTTTATTCAACTGAACCTTGTTCGTGTTCTTTCTCTGCTGAAGAGAACACAGAACACGCATTTACATTTAGGTGGAATCTAGCTAATTATAATGATATAATAGTATCAGAGAACACCTTAGATGTGATGCTGCAGCCAAGAGCTCCATGAGAGTTTGAGACCCATTTCCAAACTTGTGATTATGTTAGAGACAGACACTGCTCTCTGTTGCCTTCTTTCAGAGCAAATCTTGCTTGGACAGTTATGTATGCAGCTTGTTGGTCTTTGCTGCTGAAGGTTTTTAATAGATGTTGCAGGATCATATGGCTTCTGAATACCTATAGCTTTCTGCTTCATAGCTGGAGCTAGAATTCAACAACTAAATTACAACTGAAGATACCAAGATGGGCTTGGGCTCTCTCACTGTGTACCCAAAGGGGTATCTTCTGCTGTTGATGTCTGGCACTGGCAGACACCATTGGCTGGAACTGAGGAATCTTCTTGGCTTTATACTGTGTCACAAATTCCTCATGTAGCCTCTATATTGCAGCTGAAAGTGTAAGTGGTGCCAAAGAGCAAACTTATGCCATTTCTTCAGGCACCAATATCCTTGGCTCTACTATAGCAAGCTATTTTCTTCTCTTTCATGTTTTCACTCTTTTTTTCTTCTTCTTTTAGTGCCAGTTTCAGGAGTACCTTCTAGCACTGATACCCATTGCCTCAGCTCTGCAGATTCCTTTGGACACTTGTCAGAGGTTTTTTGGAATGTTTTCAGCCAAGTCTACCTATGTGTTCACAAGGTCAGATCCTGTGGACACCGAGAAAGTAAAGAGACTCTTGTCAAACTCAGCAAGTGTGTGTGTAGAATGGATCACAGAAAGTTCTATTTTACCAAAGAACTGGTAAATGAATCACTACAGGTTTCTGGATTAGTACTTTCACTGCTAGGCTCTGCCCTGCCTGTTCTCCCTCAGAATTATGCATCTGGCCTTTAAAAGCTCCAGGAATTCATTTCTTGCAAGGCGAACATGCTTTCTTACATGCTTTCTTACATGCTTTCTTACATGCTTTTACTGCCTAAACTTTTCTCTGAATCCTTTCTGCTGCTTGAAATAGTGGCAGTGAAACTGTAGTGACAGTCAGCGTGAACATGTACTGCTTTTCCTGAGTGTTTCAGCAATGATTTTTGGAACCAGTACTGTTGCTGCTTCCAACAAAAACCTATAAAGTGGCAGTTAACAGCAGATACTAGTTCTTGTTATGGTATTGAGTCCTTCACTCACCAGGTTCCTGTACAAATTCTTACTAAGTTCCCCAGATACCATTTTTCTTTTATCTTTTTCTGTTTTTGGACACAGCACATGCAAACACATCACACTATCTGATTTTACATGTTCTTTGTCATCACAAATACCTCAAGTCATCTTGTCCTCACCATCTCTAACGGAAAACTGATTTGCAACCTAAAGGTCTCTAGGAATTGCCAAGTCTTGACCAGAATATTCGTCCACTGGTTGTTCT